TTTTTTTTTATTTATCGTCATTTCCACCATTAAAATTCTTCCTTCTTCCTTCAAGGTCCCTTCCAACTCTGTTATTCTGTTTGACTGTAAACTATTTTGGGACATTTTTTCAGGCATGAAAGACATAGATTTTCTCCATATACACACTTTTAGGTGTGTGTCTATATTTGTTTCTGTATGCATATATCTGGAATTATATAATCTATGTCCATCACTTCCAAATGTATTTGATAATAACCTTTTGTATTGCTAAGGATTTGAGATTGACCGAAGTCAACAAGAAATTTTACCCAAATCAACAACTGAATTTGATTGAATGGATATTTGAACATGGATGTCGGTAGTATTCCATGTAGCAGATGAATCATAAACAATGTAAGAGATTATTCTATCATTGTGGCATGTTTGCTTTTTTCATTGTAATGTATAATTTTTTCTTTTTTCATACGTTTCACCATTTTATATAAATTAAAGTTACACTTTTCTTTAAATCTTATAGAAAAGAGGATGGGAAGAAGAGCACTCTGGACAGCTAAGAATAACGAGCAACATTGAAAAGGAAAGCAAACCGAGCCAGAAATCAAAATATTTTCCATTTCCTTCAGAAAACCACACAATTCTCCTTCTCCTCCAGCAGCTCTTAGAAAAAAAGAGAAAAAATCAAGAAAGATTTCAAACTGGAACAAGTAGAACAAGTAGTTCAGAACTCAAGGATACATTACATGAAAAGTGAAGGGAGATTATTTTTCATTCAGTAAAAGAAGGAATTATCTGGAAGTCAGTTGGAGGAAAAGGTGAGTAGGAAAGTCATGTAGAGCAGAGAGCCATGCAGGCCTCGCACTGTGAGGAAGAAAACGGCTTGAATGAAAGCACCACTAAAATAGGGATTGTCCATATTTTTGACCTCCTCAAGAATATCAGCTGTGGAAAAGCTCCGTACTTGTGTCTATTGTTGGAAAAGCACAGATTACAAATCACAACTGATTATGCACAAGAGGAGCCACACAAGAGAAAAGCCATAAAAGCACTCCTAGTGCAGTAAATGCTTTAGTGAGCATGGCAACGTGGTGATACATCAGAGGATTCACAGCAGGGAGAAAACCTATGACTGTACTGATTGTGTAAATGTTTCATTAGAAATTCCCATGTCATGAGACACCAGAGGATTCACACAGGAGAGAAACCTTTTGAATGTCCTGATTGTGGGGAACGTTTCAGTCAGATGTCCACCCTGGTGAAACACCAGAGGACTCACACAGGAGAGAAACCCTTTGAATGTCCTGATTGTGGGAAAGGTTTCAGTCAGAAGTCCAGCCTTGTGAAACACCAGAGGATTCACACAGGAGAGAAACCCTTTGAATGTCCTGATTGTGGGAAAAGGTTCAATGACAAGTCCAGCCTTGTTACACACCAGAGGATTCACACAGGAGAGAAACCCTTTGAATGTCCTATCTGTGGGAAAGGTTTCAGTGACAAATCCAACCTGGTGACACACCAGAGGACTCACACAGGAGAGAAACCCTTTGAATGTCCTGATTGTGGGAAAAGTTTCAATTGCAAGTCCAAACTGGTGATACACCAGAGGACTCACACAGGAGAGAAACCCTTTGAATGTCATATCTGTGGGAATGTTTTCTGTCACAAGAGCAGCCTGGTGACACACCAGAGGATTCACACAGGAGAGAAACCCTTTGAATGTCCTATCTGTGGAAAAAGTTTCAGTGAGAATTCCCACCTAGTGTCACACCAGAGGACTCACATAGGAGAGAAACCCTTTGAATGTACTGATTGTGGAAAAGGTTTCAATCACAAGTCCAACCTGGTATCACACCAGAGGACTCACACAGGAGAGAAACCTTTTGAATGTCCAGATTGTGGGAAAGGTTTCTATCACAAGTGGTACTTGGTGACACACCAGAGGATTCACACAGGAGAGAAACTCTTTGAATGTCCTATCTGTGGAAAAAGTTTCAGTGAGAATTCCCAGCTGGTGATACACCAGAGGACTCACACAGGAGAGAAACCCTTTGAATGTCCTGATTGTGGGAAAAGCTTCAGTCAAAAGTCCAACCTGGTGACACACCAGAGGACTCACACAGGAGAGAAACACTTTGAATGTCCTGATTGTGGGAAAAGTTTCAGTCAGAATTCCAGCCTTGTGACACACCAGAGGACTCACACAGGAGAGAAACCCTTTGAATGTCCTGATTGTGGGAAAGGTTTCAGTCAGAAGTCCAGCCTTGTGAAACACCAAAGGACTCACAAAGGAGAGAAACCCTTTGAATGTCCTGATTGTGGGAAAAGTTTCAGTCAGAATTCCCAGCTGGTGACACACCAAAGGACTCACACAGGGGAGAAACCCTTTGAATGTCCTGATTGTGGGAAAAGTTTTAGTGAGATTTCCAGCCTTGTGAAACACCAGAGGACTCACAAAAAGGGAGAAATCTTTCAACTGTCCAGTCTGTGAACGTTACTTCACTCATAAATCATCCCTTATTGCACACAAGGAAATCCACATGAGGCAAAAGTTGAAGAATTTAGAAAAGGCTTGAAATTAATTTGTGATCTCCCATTGAAACTGTAGATGAGAAATTGACTATTTGAATTGTGGTCCGAATCTGTTTACTTAAACGTGTCTCAGGACTAGACTTGTAAATGGAGAGAAAAGGAAAATGGAAAAAGGCTTGTTCTGGATCATGTTTGGCATTTATTGGGTTAAGTGCTGTCTCCTTAAGAGATGGCTTATGGGAAATGTAGTTTTAGCTAGTTAGCTATCTCATGTTAACAGGTCAGTAGTAGTAGGAGCCTTCGAGCTCTTTTCAGGACATACTGGCTACGTGCCCAGTTTGGCATGCCTTTGTTCATCCAGCCTCATGTCTCCTAGCCACATGGCTTGGAGGTCCTATGCAAACATGTGATGCTTATGCAGAAGAAGAGGGGAAAATCCATGATCAAATTACCTGTGGAATGAACCAATACCGCTAAAATATGCTTCTGGACGTATCTCTACATAACTGTGAGTTATTGTTTAGGATTCCCAGAATAAAGCAATATTTTCTGTTTATTCCTCTGAGTTATCTGTCTGTCCTGGATAGGACTAAGGCCGTCTGTTCTGTCTGGGGCAGAACAAGGCTAACTACCAATTTCTGGTTAGCAGCAGCAGCTACTGGATATTTCCTTTTGTAGAAGTTGTGGATTTTCTCAAAAAGGCTTCTGGGTAGTAGTTTTTATATTGATTATATATTTCCCACATGTGGAGTTTCAGGTCTTCTACCTTGGTTTCCTCCAGATTTTGAGGCCCAGAATTCCACAGCCAGCTTAGAAAAGGTCCTGAAGATATAACTGCCATGGGCCTTGCAATTATGGCTGCATGTTGTAATGGCCGTTAATTACCCTGATCTCTCTGATGCAGCCATTAATTGAATGTGTCAGTCACTATGTGGAACACTGGCTACTTCAGGGTTGGGGAAAACTCTTCAAGGAATATTAAACTTACTAACGCAGCTTCATACAAAGAAAATTTATATAAAATGTTTTATAGATGGCACATGACACCAGTTAGATTAGCAAAAATGTTTAAAAATGTACCGAATATCTGTTGGAAATGTAAACAAAAACCAGGTACTTACTATCATGTCTGGTGGACATGTCCTAATGCAAAGAAATTTTGGTTTAAGATCCATATATGGCTGGAAAAGATGAATAAAATACAGATAGAATTTAAGCCGGAACTGTTTTTGCTAGGAATATTAAGACTTAATTATGGAAAAGAAAATGAATATTTAATATTACATGTATTAACAGCTGCGAGAATAGTATGCTAATATTGAATATTCTTGCTTTGACAAAATATGCAGAACTGTCTGGTATTTTTAGAGCTAATTCAGATGAGACTGAGAGAAGGAGGGAAAAGCGCATGGAAGGGAATGGAAGTGAATCTTTGCCCTCCAGGTTACACTAATAAAGGCTTTTTAGGTTAAAAAGTGCCTGAAAGTTCTTTGAAGTGTTTCATTAGTCAGACACATGACATAGTATTTGCCCAATTTTGGAAAGATGAAAACTTACCACCTGACCAGACTATAATCATGAAAATTTTAGAATGTGCAGAAATGGATAGATTAACTTTAGAGATTAAAGAGAAAGAAGATTCAATTTACTTTAAAACATGGGAAAAAATTTATCAATGGTTAGCAGTACGATAGAATGAGAAAGGATTGTGAAATTTAATGGGATGAATGATATTTACTGACTAGGCTTTACTCTTATGATCATTGTTATTATTAGTGATTATAATTATTTAGCATTATATTAATTACCGTTACTTCATTTTTATGATTATTGTTACTTTCTCTTACTACAACTGTTCAGTATTGTATTAACTATCGTCATTTAATATTTATACCCGGACAATAATCTGCTTGCTAAAACGTTGAATTATTGTAGGGGGCAACCCCATTATTGTATCTACACCTATCCCTATCCCAACCCTATTCCCCAACCCCATCCAATACCCATACCGATTTTATCCCTTCCCCACCCTTATAGAATCTAATAAAATATATTTTTTAAAAACAGAGGTATAGTGTCAAGGCAACAAGAAGTGATAGTACCAATTTACACCATGCTGGTGAGTCCACATTTAGAATACTACACCCCATTCTGGTCCCATGATTCAACACATGTTGAGGCCCTGGAAAATGTACAGAGAAGAAAAAAGATCATAAATGGTCGGGACTCTAAATGACAATCGGTTGAAAGGGCTAGTTATGTCTAGGCCAGGGGTAGGACACCTCAGCTCTTTTATGACTCATGGACTTCAACTCCCAGAATTCCTGAGCCAGCCATGCTGAGGGGAAAGGGAGAGGTTTCCAAGCTGAGCCATGCTGGCTCAGGAATTCTGGGAGTTGAAGTCCATGAGTCATAAAAGAGCCAAGGTTGCCTACCCCTGGTCTAGGCCATGGAAGAGAAGGATTGGGGGAGGCATGATAGCTGTCTTCCACTACTTGAGGGGCTGTCACGAAGAGGAGATCAACTTATTCTCTAGGGCAACAGAAGGCAGAACAAGAAGTTTATGGGTGGAAGGTTGTCAAAGGAAGATCCAATCTAGAAGTAAGGAGAAATCTTCTGTCAGTGAGTGCAATTGATCAGTGGAATAGCTGGTCTCCTGGCATTGTGGATGCTCCATCACTGGAGGTTTTCCAGAATAGACTGGACAGTCATTTGCCTGGGGTTATATAAGGCTCCTGCCTTGAGCAGCGGGTT